AAAGTTGAAGTTTGGAGTAAATCCGTAGCATCAGAGCAGTGTAATCTGTGTTAGGTAACTAAAGCCCGGGTCAACGCTGGGGGAGACGTGTGAAGTGATGGATCGGACGGCGTTTTGGACTCACGCTGTTATCTCTGCATTATGTAAGATTAACAATAACAGGAGAGAGTGGAGGATCTCAGGTCAGAAGCTGCACCTACCACCTTTTCAAACTGAACAAGAGATAGAGATAGACACCTTCATACAGTGTGGCCTCATGTGGCGCCGACCAGCTCAGACCAAACATATCAGAGAACCACTGGGAGCAAAATTACAAACTTTTAAGATGTTTTGTAATATTTCAGTCATTTTTCATTTCTTGCGTTCAAGCGCCATAGCTCGGATGATCCCCATTCTCACCGCCATCTACGCTAAGGTCTGGAAAGTTGATCAAACATAGAAGAAAAGTCCACACTGGTCATACAAAACCTTTCAGCCTTCCATCTCCATCCGTCAGAGGGCTGCATCCAAATTCTTTCAAAAACCTCCTCCTTGTCCTTAAAATGAGCGTTATTATGGAACGTAGCAGCTCCAGATGTTTTACTTTTGTTGTAATTACTATTTGGATGCTGCCCTCAAACATGGCATCTCTTTGAAAAGTGTTTTTTTTTACGAAATGTCCTCTTTTTCACAAATTCTCTCCCCTGTTCCTTTTGTTTTGAGTATAATTGTTGCTGCATTGGGCGTCTATGCAAGCGGGCGCAGTGTGGTCAGACATCGCTGAGGTTGCATGTGTGTTTGTCGTCACCGCTCCACGCTAAACCAGGCTGTGCTCTGCTGTATGCGATGCTCTTTTAAAGGAGACATGTGGATAACATGCAAACAATTATTTGGTTTTTAGAGCGAGGAATCAGACGCAGTGGACCTTTCTCTCGTGAACCATTTCTCTCGTGAACCATTTCTCTTTGTCACTTCTGGTGCTCGGACTTTTTCACAAAACTACTGTAATATCAAAATCAGCGCCTGCCTTGTGGATCTAAATCTGCGATGGCCAAAGATTTTTAGTGACAAAGCCACGGTAGTTCACCAGATTTGTCTAGAAACTTTCAATCCATTTTCCATAAGCGTTTTGACTGTTTTGAGGCTGCTCTGTATGTCGGTTTGGCTTCATGTTCAGTTATTCATATTTGCAAAAATTGAGAGCGACCAGAGAGAGAGAACTGAGATAGACCAGAGAGAGACCAGAGAGAGACCAGAGAGACCAGAGAGAGACCAGAGAGAGACTAGAGAGAGACCAAAGAGACCAGAGAGAGACTAGAGAGAGACCAAAGAGACCAGAGAGAGACCAGAGAGACCAGGGAGATCAGAAAAACTAGCAGAGCTGTCTACTCTGGAGGTTCTTTATTAATCCAGACTCTTATATTTAACAAGTTGTAGTTCTTCTACTCTCTTGTGCCCTTGGGTATGTTTTGGATGAATTGAGATTAAATATATTTTTCTAAATCTTCAACCAGCCTTCAAAACGTCTAAACAAAGAATACTCTTGGGGGCAGAATGACACCATGAGGGTCAGTGCACAGATCCACAGGCCGGTTCATGACCACGCACTGATTTTGAGATTTCTTATTTTTGCAAAAAAGTCCATATCCTGTTGTAGACAAAAACTCAGAGAAATGTCTATTGCGCCCCCTTCTGGCTCCTCTGACCATCGCGACACACACACACACACTGCTTTTACTTTAATTCTTCAACCATTTTCTTTCATGTTGTGTGTTACGCAGATGATAATTCTACGTCACCAAACATCTCTGCTCAAAGGAATTAGATTTTCAGCTGATGGATAAGTTGATCTAATATAACTATAAAATGCATCTTTATCTTTTCTATCAATACTGACATTTTGAATGCGCTAAATACATATAATAATAATAATGAGCCAGACACAAGCACTTTCAGTCTCCTTTAAAAGCACTTGTGTCCAGATGTGCCCATGTATAATATTTCTGCTGGGTTCTAATGCATGACGTTGTTTTGAACTTGCATCCTATAAACCGAGGTTTGTTCCCTCCATCGCTCCCTCTTGACTTTTTTCTTTTGGTTTTTCTTTATTTTTGGGTAAAAACCTTCTGGATTTTCTACATTCATAAACATTTTGTAGGCAGCAATATGAGATGTGATCGAAAACGGAAAATGTGCAATGTTGACTAAAGAAAATAATATATTCAATAAAAATTCTGAAAATGGCTGTGTGTCGTGGTCTCTTTTCTTCTCTGCCAATAATGTGGTGAATGAATATTGAGCCAACATCGATCACATATGGAATGCAAAAAGTCTTGATGAAAAGTGAAAAAAAAGCTAGTACTTCTTAATTACATGTTTCGCAGCGTTGTCCTTGCCCCCCGCCGCCCTGTGGTCTCTGGAGAAGGGAGTCCCAAGTGTGAGGCAAGATGAAGGCCCCCTCGTCTCTGTCGATGGTCACTGCTCCTGGCCTCCATCTTTTGTATTTAACAAGAAATGGATCTATAAATACAGACAATGGATATATAACTATCAAATAAAAAATAATGATGATGATTGCAACGAAACAGTTTGGTCGCTGTAGATAAGAAGTGCAGGTCTTGGTAAGTACTGTGATGGGAGAGTGCTGTAAAACCAGGCCACAGTGAGACGGCTGAGGCTGCAAAGGACTAAATAACACTGTATGAACCTATAACTATCAGCTTCACTTTCAACAATCTATCCCAGGGCAGCTATGCCTACATTAATATCGTACCATGTCTGTGTATGTTAGCAAATGTATAGGCAACGTGAATCCACTCCCAGGCCTGGTGTCAGAGTGGGGAGAGGAGCTGGTGTCAGTGTGGGATGGTCCTGCCTCTGTGGCCTGTGAAAGCGACAACAGCCACGCTACGTTAACATTTAGAGGGCGTTTATAGAGCAGTTAGCGTAGCGCTCTGTAGACCATCCATCAGTCTGCTTGTCCTGGGTCCTGTCCTAGATCCTGGATCCTGTGCTGGATCTTGAGTCCTAGGTCCTATATGCTGGGTCCAGGCCTGGATCCAAAGGGAATCGATTAATTGTGCAACTAATGGTTCATTGAAGATGCTGTCAACTAAGAGATGAAAAGTCAAAAATTGCTCGAACTTGGCAAATGTATCTTAATGTGGGCCCATTCTGACTGAAAAACAAAACAAAATGATCTCGTTTTTAAAATAAAGTATATAGAAATGTCTCCCTTAGAAAGAGAAAATAAAGCAAAATTTCTCAAAATGAGACTAAATGTCTTTGTCCCATTGGAGACTCTGGTTTTAAATTAGAATGTACTCAAATGAAGATAAAAACCACTCAATTCAAGCAATCATGGGTTAAACAGGCTGAAAATAGGTTTTATGATTCAGATAACTCTATTTCTGATTCAAGTATTTTGAATAAATCAACCCAACTCATTAGGGGCTTGTGCTTTGGGAATTGGGTGCAGCTCTGACTGCCACCCCTGCGACCCAGATATCAGATTCAGTTTATTTGCCATTTGCAGTAAAAACACCACTGAACAATATCGAGATATGGATTAAGGGGAAGAAAATGGATGGATGGATGGGACCAAACTCATGTCGCTGACAATATTCTCCAGAGACAGCACTCAAGCATAAAAAAAATCCCAAATTGACCTTTCAGGATTTAATAATAATGATTAATTTGACTTGTATAATTTTATATACAAGTCATTATTCTTTCACTCTAAGCACGGTGAAGATAAACTCACCCCACAGTGGGGCGGCTGCGGCTGTAAAGTGCCAAACTGCTGTTGTGTCCTTAGGCAAGACACTTCACCCCCATTGCCTAGAATGAGTCTGGTGTGTGTATGAATGATTGGTGGTGGTCAGAGGGGCCGATGGCGCATACTGGTTGCCTCGCTTCTGTCAGTGTGCCCCAGGGCAGCTGTGGCTACAGCAGTAGTTTATCACCACCGTGTATGGAGTGAATGCATAATGACACATGTGAAGCGTCTTTGAGTGTCCAAAAAAGCGCTATATAAAACCGATGCATTATTATTATTATTATTATTATGACTGTAGCCACAGCTGCCCTGGGGCACACTGACAGAAGCAAGGCAACCAGGCTGTGCCATTGGCCCCTCTCACCACCACCCACCATTCACACACACACACACCAGACTCATTCTAATGTGGGTGAAGTGTCTTGCCTAAGGGCACAACAACAGTTTCGCACTTTACAGCCGCCCCACTGTGGCTGTAATGTGAGGGTTCCCATCACAGCACTAACTCGCTGCTATTTCCAGAACATTCTAAAGATTTACCCTTTACTCTTGATTCTTGAAATAGAAGTGAATAAAGAAGTAAATAGTCTCATCATATTTTTAATGGCCACAAATAATGTATTCTTGAACATGCACGCAGCCATTAGCTCATAGTAAAACAACTGAAGTGTGCTGTAAGTATTATTGCTGTTATTTTATTTATTAAGAAAGTTAATCTGGTTCAGACTGGTTCAGACGCTGGTGTAAGTGAACACCTCTGTGGACAATACGATGCCAGCCTTATGATCCTCCAGTCAGTTCCTCAGGCACCAGCTTTTAAAAAAACAGGAGGAGAATCCACCAGGAGGAAACCATGATCTCTATTATAATCCTTCTTCCAAACCAATTCAAGGAACATTTACAGCTGAAAAGGGTGCAATTAACTGTGATTAATCATGATTTAACAGCAATGGTTTTTATATTGTGTTTTTTATGTAACCGAGCCCTAAATTACATATGGATCCCTCCATTAGTTATTGAAGGAAACATCAATATGATAATGATGTATAATGTATTTACATTAGAAACAGCACTTTGTGACCTCTGCCCCGGGCACTGGGCCCGTGCTGTCGACTTGTTTATGGACTCCACAGATGCCAGGGGAGGCTGCTTAACCCTCAGGGCGGGTTCACGTTCACACTCTCCCAGATCCAGTGCTCTGACCTGGGTTAACCTGGAATGGGCTGGCCTGGCCTGGGGTTACCTGGGCTGGCCGGCTGAGGCGGTGCCTCCACCTTCCATCCATCAGCCCTCAGCAGAGCCAAGGTGACGTCCAGGCTCCAGAGCGTCCAGCATTTGTCCACGTCCAGCATGATGGATGGACCTATGCTCCACGGGAGAAAGTGCTAAAGTGTGATATTGTCCAGAGAAGAAAGTTCTGTGAGAGAGAGGTGTGATGGGACTGGACTGGTCTCATGCAGAGGGGGGGGGGTTGTTTTGTAGGAAACTCTCTAAACATGTTTCATGTTTACTCACGGAGCCGATAACAACAGGAGCCTGGAGCTGACACGTGTGAGAATAGAGACGTAAGTGTAAAAATCTGTTATTGTTGGTGAGGTGGATGATGAGCTGAGAAGACACATTAACTGACAATAAATAAAGACAATAAACTGAATAAACATTCAGTTTATTTTCCTGACACCACAGATTGTAGTATTTACAGTCTGTGGTTGCACTGTGGAAGTACACATTTCTCTCTGCCATGAAAGTGTCCAAGCGACCACACAAACATGTTCTATGTGAGGAGAGAGTCATATTCTCCATATCTGAAAAGAAAAAGACGCAAGAGAGAGGAGCCAGTTCACTGTCCTTCATCCAAATGTTTCAATGACTTTACTTGTTCTGTGTCAATAACAAATACATCTACTTTGTTTGAAGGAGTTTTGTTTGACTGATGCACCAAGAACAAAACATTTGTTGCTGCAATGTGCAGTTTCAAACCTGAACTCCAACATAACTGCCCCTTTAAGGCTGAAGCATCAATCTTTGAAACCACCACAAATTGAACCAATACTAACAATGCCGCAAGTTATCCATAATAAGGGAACGTGAGAGAATAAAACAGTGCTGGACCATGACTGTCTCAGAGACAGACTGATCCACCCTCGCTGCATGACGGCTCTGCAGGTCTTTCCTTCCTGCTGCGGTCAGACTGTACAACGAACAGTGAGGACTAACGAACACTGCAAACCTGACCTCACACGTCAGGCATCTGTGCAATAATGTGCAATAACTAGGGATGCACCGATACCACTTTATTCAAAACCGATACGAGTACCTTAATTTGTGTACTTTTTGATACCGAATACAAGTACATTGTGTTCTCCCTGGGAATTCAGAAAACTAATACTGACATTTAAAATGTTTTATGTCTCATTTCAACAATAAGCAAATGCTTTAACAACATTTTAGCAATTGTTTCACCAGTCAACAATAAGAGCCACTGTCATATTCCACTCATACAAATGCTATGTGTAGAATTGGTTATTTGTGCTCTGGTACTAGCAGAGGTGCTATACTCCGCCTGGTGGTGAGTTTTCAGATGTTTGATCTGGTGTTATACGTGTTTGTTTTGGACTCATCTCGCAACAGTTTTGCTTTACACAACGTACAGTTCGCTTTACTCTTGTCACTTGCTTACTTTAAAAATCTTCCTTTCGGCCAAGTTAATATCTGCTTGTCGCTAAGTCTACTGCTGTCTACTGTTGTGACGCTAATGTAAATTAAAAATGTGGGTATTGGTTGCCGGCATTGGGTCCTTTGGTATAAGTACGAGTACAAGCCTATGATATCGACCCCATACCCGATATCAGAATCGGTATTGGTGCATCCCTCACAAAAACCACATGTGTCCGTCACCGTCACTGTGTCCCAGAGCCTCATGCTGCTAACATTTAAACATACATTTACTTATGCACTAGAACAGGGGTGCTCAATACGTCGATCGCGATCTACCAGTCGATCGCAAAGGTAGTATTGGTAGATCGCATTAAATAAATAAATAAATACACATTCTAAACGAATATATACAAAAAACTCCGGGCAAAGTGGAGATTTTTGAAAACTCCGTTAATGCATTTGTGTGTAGACAGAGATAACCGGAGTTTTGCGTTCTCGCACGCCACAGTACCCCCCTAAATTCCTCTGATCACTGAAGCATGGATCATACTACCTTAAAAACTGTCCGCTGTGAGATGCTCGCCGCAGCGAACATCCTCCACATCAGAGAGCAGCAAAGTGATCGCGGGGACTCACGCTCGAAAACAACCAAACCAGGACTAAACCAGGACTAAACCAGGGCTAAACCAGGGCTGAGGACGGGGTCAGTGCTTGTAAACATACGTCTTTACTCGGAGTGTCTTCTATGACTGTAAAAGTGCCGTTACCGGTGTCTGCATCAAAGCTCCGCCCACTTCTGTGTTTTTCCCCAACGCAGGACAGGACGTAAGAGACGCACATGTTTGGAATGTTACGAATGTGATTGATAACGCAGATGTGTGGATGCAAATTATTTTATAAACGGAGGAGGGGAAATATTTGGATTTAAAAAAACAGGCATGGCACATGGACATGGCACCACAGTCAAATGACATCTGTGTTTTACTCAGTAATTTTTTACTGACACTTAGGTGACTGCACATGCGCAAACAACCGCGCTCAGTGCAGGAAAGCTAAACCACGACAAACTTGTCAGCGAGTTACCGCCAATTTTCCGGACTATGCATCCCTGGCCGATTCAATTCAGTGCAAGTCATAAGAGTAAACTCGGGTAATGACAAAAAATGTACATAGGTAATTGTGTTGTGTTGTGCTATATTGGCTCATGCGGTTTTGCATGTACATAAACATACATTGTAGGTATAAAGAATATTTTTTGAAATAAATATATGATTTGCATTTTTGTAGTAGGTAGATCATTTTGACTTGATCCTTTTATAAGTAGCTCGCATGCTGAAAAAGTGTGAGCACCCCTGCACTAGAATATTCAGGATTAGTACATTAGAAAAATGGAAGTTCTAAAGATGTTTCTTTTTGATGCTAGAAATTAGAGATGCTTAGAGATTTATATTTTGTTTTATTTTAGTATAGAGTTATTGTTCATTTATCTCCTCATTCCTAATGTTATATAACTTGTGATACAACACTGAAATGTCCCCACTGTGGGAGGAATAAAGGATCTCTTCATCTTAGCAATGGTCTTGCTGCCTGGAATCGTCTCAGAGCACAGTCTGCTCCAGTCCAGGCCATGGTCTGAGGGCAACAAGAACACGACTTATAAACATTTTAGGAGGAGAACCAACCGTTCTGTCGACCCAGACACTTGGCTGCATGTCTCAATCAATAAATCAATTTTTATACAAGAAATGCAACAAAGTGCTTTACAGAAACAATCCCACATGACCCCTACAAACAACACACACACACACACACACACAAACACACACATATACATGCACACACACACGTATACATGCACACACACACACACACACACACACACACACACACACACACACACACACACACACACACACACACACACACACACACACATTGGAGGCCATTTTTAAAGCTTGTGAAACACCGACGTCTGAACAAAAGGACAATCTGAGAGTCAACTCTATCCTCTACTGTCACAGAGTCTGTAAACAGGGCCTCAGACTTCCCAGTGGATCTCGTTCCTGAGCCTGTAACCGTTGCAGATAAAGTGGAAGAAGACCAAGGCCCCCAACCTCCGTGGACTTTAGCACCTACACATCTACTCTACAGTCACATCACTTGCGTCAGATAAAGTCTCTCCACATCTTTCCCGTTTGTGCAGCATTGGTACAGTTCACCTTGAATCCCCTGCTTCCCACAGAATGGAGAGAGTTCTGGGGAAGGGAGGGGGGACAGAGGGAGGGGGGGTTTGGGGGCGGTAGACAGAATGGGGGAGGCGGGGAGGCAGAGGGGAAGCAGAAAAAAAGGCCTGTACTTCAAACCGCTCGCTCGCCGCGCCTCTCCCAGCGCCATACTTTGAAGTCGGACTTAAGCAGCTTGTTAGCTTAGCGAACGCCGCTGCTACGTCAGACGCTGCAACAGCAGATAACGCTTAAAGAACACGTCAATGTAACAAGGAGCTTAGCACCGACGACTGAAGATGTTCACACTGTGTTTTCAGCCAAGTCACATTGTCTCTCACATCGAGGAGAAGTGTTTACAGCGAGAGTATGAGAGGGTTTATGATTTGCTTATTGCAGTTTTATTTTCTGATCATTTAGATTTAGGGGTTCTTGCTATAGGTGCCAGTTGCAGCTGCCACACTGTGGCAGAGGTCTCCCATCACAGTACTAACAAGGCCCTGTCCTGCTGAGCTTCAGAGGTCTTAGGGATCTGGCTTTCGCTTGCAGACATGGTCACATGGTACACATCACACTTATGCCGATTGCAGTAACATTAATATTATTTTAATTTATAAATAAAAGTGACTTAAATCTGTTTGTGGAGTCTCCTCCGTCGGTGCTGCAGTCAGAGCTTGTAACAAAGACTATGATGGAAACTAAAAGGGTTAGTTTCTCAGAGCAGTTTGTTTTTCATACCTGACCAAGGCCCTGTCCAATAATAACTGTAATAATAATAACTGTTTAGCAGCTGCGGCTCGACAGCTGACTGACCCCAGATCAGATTATCTCACGATAACAGACACAGGACACACTCATTAACTTTCATTCATGTTTTTGGTTGAAAACCACAACTGTTTTGATCCAAATGATGCTGTCTCTCAAACTTGTAAAAGCAGGTTTTACTTTTTTACACTTTTAATCATTCTCGACCAGATCTGGACAAAGTGCGGTCCAGGGGCCACATTTGGCTCCATCCACATTACTCTGCGGCCCCTGGACCCTCATACGGACTGTTGCTTTTTTTAGTCAATTCTTAATAATGGCTTTTATTAATATGTATTCCATGGCATGTTATACTTTATTCTGTTCTCATTAAGAAATCCAAAATGTTCCTGCGCTTGGAGGAGGTGCATTAACATTCTGCAACATTCTATCCACTCGGCACGGTGGCAGAGTGGATAGCACTCTCGCCTCTCAGCAAGAAGGTCCTGGGTTCAAATCCCGGTCGGACCAGGGCCTTTCTGAGTGGAGTTTGCATGTTCTCCCCGTGTCTGCGTAGGTTTCCTCCGGGTACTCCGGTTTCCCCTACCACTAAAAATATGTCCAATAGTTCTGGCATGCGCCTCCTGTACTGGCGACCCCGCTCCCATCTCTGTGTGGAGTGAGAGACAAATGCCCATAATTAACAATTGTAAACCGCTTTGAGACTCAGATCTGCAGTGAAAAGGCGGTATATAAATAAAAACTTACTTACACATGAAGTACAAGATAGTGGGTGCTCTCTGTTTTTGATGACCTGTTTTAAATGTTTTTTCTCTGGTCCTAGAGGTCTGTGATGGTGGACAGACAGTATGTGGATGTGGTGTAAGATGTGAACCTCTGTTTCAAGACAAATTTCTCCTATGGGAGACATTATCTTAATAAAAGTGGTATTAGTAATAGTAAACTACATTAAATTAAATTTAAAAAATAACCAAATGAAATTTGGTTTGGCCAAATCCCATAGCCCCCTGAAGAAAATAATTGCCCACCCCTGGTCTCATCAGTGCAAAAACACATTTTATGTGTACCCCTCTCACAAAAATAGTTACCAATACGACCACAATCTTTCTATGAACCTCCACAAGCCTCCAACCCAGATCTGTCAGGCTCTAGATGCTGTGGACGACTTATGGATTACAGTCAAATCATGATTATCCTGAACCATATTCTGAAGCTCATAGGAACAGCAGGTGCCACAGTGGGGCTGCTGCGGCTGTAAAGTGCTAAACTTTGGTTGTGTCCTTGGTGGTGGGAGGGGCAGATAGCACAGACTGGTTGCTTTGCTCCTTCGCCCCTCTTGTAGGCTACAATAGTAGTTTATCCCCACTGTGTTTGGAAAGTTCTTGAAATAAGACTAGTTAGCTTTGTTCCATTGGAGAATCTTGTTTTAACAGAGTCAGAATGTGCTCAGATTAAGATAAAAACCACTCAATTCAAGACATTAATTCCTCATAGAAATTTGCAGGTGAGTATCTTTATTTTTCACCCGGGGGGACTCCAGGGCGGTCCCAGACCAGCTGAGAGACATGTGTGTAGTCCCCCTCGGATGAGCTGGAGGAAGTGTGAATAAGGAAGACTGCTGCCCGCGCAACCCGGCAACTGATAAAGTGGAAGAAAATGGAACGGAATGGAGTTTTAGAATCTAGACAACAAATCAATTATCAGAATATTCAGCCTTAAAAAAAACGCTATACATTTCCTCTGTTCATGAACAACAGCAGTTAAAGACTCCCCTCCTGCAAACCTGAAAACTGCATTGAACTTGTACAAATCTAGGTTTAAAAACACATTTTCATTGTATATCAAGAGAGACAGTATTTTTGCCTTCAGCAGTTGTTCCCAAATGTTTCTTTCACATCTGCCAGTCAACTGTCACGTCATCATAACACGGAGTAGGAAAGGACAGAACCACATCCAGAAACTGTGTCTTGCCACAACCACGGTTTGGAACTTTACTCTGGCACCTGGTGTTCCCACAGGTCTCCCATCACAGCACTGACCAGTTCCTGCCTTCTTAGCTTCAGAGGTCTGATGTGATCTAGCATGCACAAGCAGAATATGCCATGCAAGTTCACGAATTGTACTAATTTCATTTTTTGTGGATTGCAAAGCCTGCAATCCTTTCTTTGCAAAAAATTGACAGAAGAAGAGCTCATATCACTTGATGGAGAGGCTGGCCATGTGCAGAGCTCTCTTTGATGAGATTTCACTTTCACCTGGGAGCTCTTGGGATCAGGTGGCTCCGCCCACAAAGGCCTTGCCCAAGAACACAAAATGACCGACTAAGGCACGCCCTCTATCAGGTGAAATAAACATGAACAAAGTGTGTGTGTGTACAGAAGTGTGTGTCTATGTGTGTACAGTGGTGCATGTGTACAGAGTTTGTGCATGTGTGTATAGTGTGTGCGTCCATCAGCTCCATGTGATGCCGTCTCCCACAGAGCTCAGAGCCACAGTGATGCTGAGGAGGCTGCGTTGCCATGGTAACAGCAGTGTGGTGCTCCTTGCCTCCGATCGGGCTTTTGTTACAGGGACGTGATCTGTGAGACGCTCCGGTGCATTGTTAAAGGACACAGGCGCTTCGAAAATAGGCAAGGCAAGTTTATTTGTATAGCACAGGTCATACAGAAGGCGACTCAAAACGCAGAGGAAAACAACAGTTAGAAACAAACACACAAGGCATTAACGCCATAAATAATCACATTTGAACATTTTCAGAGAAGAAGCCTGTCTCACATCTTCCAGATTTTAGCTGCATAAATCTGAAACGCAGCCTCCTTAAGTTTATTCCAGACTCTGGGACAAGCAGGAGGCCAGTCCCTGTGCTCCTCAGAGTCAGAGACTAAACTGCATTTATTGATATAAGTAACGTAATTCATCTTCATCTGATATATTGTGTGTCTGATCACCCTCGGGAACATTAAAGAAGAACTATCATGCATTATTGAAGTCCATTAGAAGTTAAAATGCTGCTATTGAACACAGTTGAGACACAGTTGAAACACAGCAGGGAGGGGCAGGCACTCAATGGTACAGGAAGTAAAACTCAAAAAGACATGAGAAAATAGATAATCGATCATTTTATATTTATAGAGCCCTTTACAACATTCAAGGCAACCAAAGTGCATCACAATAAAACCACTTTAAATCCATTAAAACATGTATGCAATCATAAAAATAAAAGTTCAAAAGCATTTAAAAAGTGCCAACGCGCTAATGAGTGGAAATACAAATAAAATACAAAAATAAAACGGGGACTAAAAATTACAAGACATGACATAAAGTCCCAGGGCATCTACAGCATGTGGCTAACAAGTCCCCAAATAAAATACAAAAATACAAATTTGAATCCCATTTCAGAATACAGGAGGTTTTTGATTGTAGTGTGGGGATCAAAGGGTCAAAAAAGAGGCACTCTGTTAAAGTGAAAAAATACAAAAGTCCTGTATTGAAAATGGACTGCCTAAGCGTTTCGGCATAATAATTACTGTATATCCAGGTGTGTCCCTAACATTTTTGAAAAAATACACAGAGCGACTTGAGACAATGTATTACTTTTCACTTTTTTCAAAACGACATATAAAAAGTATATTTTGGTAAAGGACACCTCAGGTAAAGTTTCGGAAGAGAAAGAATGGGAATGGCAGAGAAACTTCAGGAGTTCCATGTACTCATATTTGATCTGTCTCTGCGTCTCCTTGAACCCAGGACCAGTCTGCTGTCCTTGATGAAAATGTTGGGAGACTTTGAAACTCTACATTTTGGCCTCGGTCTTGGGGCTGGGTGGACTCTGCGGGGTGGTCAGTCTGTGGTCTCTGTGATTCACTCTAAACATTCTCCTCACACACTCAAGGCGACTGTCAACGGGCCGTCAGTCCACGCTCGCACATCCGACGAGACTGCCCCTCGCGGACATCTGCTCACGCTGGTGCGAGAGGACGGCTTTTTATAGTGCGTGCAAGGACGCAGCCATTACACACCAACACGCCACTTTTCTGCTCTGTTTTCTTGTCCCTTTGTGGTGGGTTGGCCATCGGAGGCGCCAGTGGGGTGAAAACGTTCAAGCGAAATATCAAATTAGCGGCGAGCAAACACGCCACTTTTGGTTCCTGGAGCCATCAGGGCATTTGGGGAGGCCGGTGGCGGGGAAATGTTTTGGTGAAAAATCAAAATAGCGGAGATCAAACACGCCACTTGAGTTTTCTTTCCGAGACGTTGGGGGGACAGGCCGTCGGAGAGTTGCCATCAAGTGCCTCCGCTCGGTTTCATTTCACTTGTAAAGGCCAAAAATTACATTAAAATGGTGTGGGTGAATTGTGATATTAATAAATGGTTCAGAGGGCTTTGTTTTATGGCAGGAAGGTTTTTGGGAAGATGTAAGTTAAGATTCAGTTTGTTAGTGAGTTTAGTTATTAGACAGCGATTGACCATTTCCTTTGATGTGTCTGTTTTCATGTGTGCACATAATATATCCTGAACAGACTATATTATTTTGCCTTTAACATGTTTGCACACTTCTGTCTTTTGCACAAATCTGAGTGATTCTATCCGTGCCAAATGTGTAAATTTCTCCTGTGTGAGATCAATAAAGTCTGTCCTCTGCCCCTGTCTTCCTACCTTGAGTTGCCTTTTTTCATGTAATCATTGCAGAGTTGTGACATGTGTTTTTCCTGTGGCAATTGGCCAATGAGGGACCTGACCATTCCGATAAAGCTTTTGTGAATCCCATTGTGCGAAGGGAGGAGCAGACTGCAGAATCTTTCTCAGTTTGCAAAGGCTTGTTCTTATCATGAACTTTTTACTTTTATTAAACTACACAAAATCCAATTCTGTTTCCATGGATCATTAAGGACATTTCCACAACACACTCCAGCTGTTGTATGGACCAAACACAAACGATTGACCAAAAGCAGTTCGAGAGAGGTTCGAATGAATGTCAGACTCAAACCACAGTCAGTGATGATGTTAAAATATCTTTTAAACCAGCATAACAAGGGACAGAAACTAATAACGATTTTGTGTCTTCCCTCTGATTCTGTTTGTCCATGTTGCACAAATGTCAAGACAATATCTATAATGAATATATGTATGTAAGGTGATGACAAGGACGAATGATTAAATAATATTCGGTCAGGTATCGGTTCCTAATTTCAGAACATCTTTTGGACCGTCCACCTTTTCCTCTAATGGAGCCAGACTGACAATCCAATATGTCCCATGAGTGTGAGTGCGTTTGGCCTGTTAAAGAGAGAATACATCGTCGCTGGTTTTGAGTCAATTCTATTTTTCAGGAGCTGTGTGTATGTATGAGTTTATATTGAAAAGGCACGCTCTGTGGAACTTGTATCTGTGTGCGATGAATCAAAAGGAAAGTCAAAAACAGCAACATACATAAAGGAGTCTGATATTTTCAGCGGTGGCTGCAGAACCCAGGATTGTAATTCTAGCATTTGATTCGGCGATGGCTGTCATTTAGGGCTTTAGAAAAATACATTGAATTGGTTATTTCACACCTGGAAAAAGTGTTGAATGTCACCTGACCAAACCTGGAGCAATTCATACAAGGTAAATCCAAAATGGCGGCTTAGAAAAATTGAGATAAGATTGACTTCATTTCCTTACTGTGTGAAGGAGAGGTTCCACAGGTCTCTCCTTCCTGCTGCTGTCAGACTGTACAACGAGAACTGCTGAGCCTGTACGTGCCATTCATCTGTAAATAAAAAATACTGTTATCATGAGCAATGTGCAATACTGCAATTTCAGAATCCACTGCATGTTACTTCATCTACTTATCCGGCCGCATATGTATTCAAGCTAAGAAACATAGCAGCTGTTTTTGTCCTGTATGTAAGATAAGATAAGATATGAGATCTTTTATTCGTCTCACAATCGGGAAATTCCTGTGTTGCAGCGCACTACAGGACAGATGTAAAAGGACACAGGGAGCACACAGAATATACAATATAAGTTGCTGCTATCATTCTTGGCTGTAAATGCTTCAATATCAATCTTTCGATATATCAATATAAGGCAAATATAGAGCTGTATAATAAGAAAAGTTTTAATGTGCGATGCAACATTGACATTTCTCGATTGTGGGACAAATAAAGGTTCTCTTCATTTCATGATTTTAAATGTGAATTAAAATGTTCAGGCAACAGATTTAAAGTTATACATTCTGGGACAGGGAAAGAAAAATGTGAGATGATTTGGATGCTGTAGCTGTCAGACTTGTGAGGACGGGAGGATGTAAAAACCCTGATCTGGCAGCTCTCTCTCTCTCTGTGTCTCTCTGTGTCTCTCTCTCTCTTTGTCTCTCTCTTGTGTCTCTCTGTCTCTCTCTGAGTCTCTCTCTGTGTCTCTCTGTGTCTCTCTGAGTCTCTCTCTGAGTCTCTCTCTGAGTCTCTCTCTGAGTCTCTCTCTGAGTCTCTCTCTGAGTCTCTCTCTGAGTCTCTCTCTGTGTCTCTCTGAGTCTCTCTCTGAGTCTCTCTGTGTCTCTCTGTGTCTCTCTGTGTCTCTCTCTGTGTCTCTCCCTGTGTCTCTCTCTGTGTCTCTCTCTGTGTCTCTCTCTGTGTCTCTCTGAGTCTCTCTCTGTGTCTCTCTCTGAGTCTCTCTCTGTGTCTCTCCCTGTGTCTCTCTCTGTGTCTCTCTGAGTCTCTCTCTGTGTCTCTTTCGCTCTGTGTTTCTCTCTGTCTCTCTCTGTGTCTCTCCCTGTGTCTCTCTCTGTGTCTCTCTCTGAGTCTCTCTCTGAGTCTCTCTCTGTGTCTCTCTCTGTGTCTCTCTCCGTCTCTCTCTGTGTCTCTCTCTGTGTCTCTCTCCGTCTCTCTCTGTGTCTCTCCCTGAGTCTCTCTCTGAGTCTCTCTCTGAGTCTCTCTCTGTGTCTCTCTGAGTCTCTCTCTGAGTCTCTCTGTGTCTCTCCCTGTGTCTCTCTCTGTGTCTCTCCCTGAGTCTCTCTCTGTGTCTCTCTCTGTGTCTCTCTCTGAGTCTCTCTCTGTGTCTCTCTCTGTGTCTCTCCCTGTGTCTCTCCCTGTGTCTCTCTCTGTGTCTCTCTCTGTGTCTCTCCCTGTGTCTCTCCCTGTGTCTCTCCCTGTGTCTCTCTCTGTGTCTCTCTCTGTGTCTCTCTCTGTGTCTCTCTGAGTCTTTCTCTGTGTCTCTCTCTGAGTCTCTCTCTGTGTCTCTCCCTGTGTCTCTCTCTGTGTCTCTCTGAGTCTCTCTCTGTGTCTCTCTCCGTCTCTCTCTGTGTCTCTTTCGCTCTGTGTTTCTCTCTGTCTCTCTCTGTGTATCTCCCTGTGTCTCTCTCTGTGTCTCTCTCTGAGTCTCTCTCTGAGTCTCTCTCTGTGTCTCTCTCTGTGTCTCTCTGTGTCTCTCCCTGTGTCTCTCTCTGTGTCTCTCTCTGTGTCTCTCTCTGTGTCTCTCCCTGTGTCTCTCTCTGTGTCTCTCTCTGAGTCTCTCTCTGTGTCTCTCTCTGTGTCTTTCTGTGTCTCTCTCTGAGTCTCTCTCTGTATCTCTCTCTGTCTCTCTCTGTGTCTCTCTCCGTCTCTCTCTGTGTCTCTCTCTGTCTCTCTCTGTGTCTCTCTCTGTGTCTCTCTCTGAGTCTCTCTCTGAGTCTCTTTCTCTCTCTGTCTCTCTCTGTGTCTCTCTCTCTCTGTCTCTCTCTGTGTCTCTCTCTGTGTCTCTCTCTGTGTCTCTCTCTGTGTCTCTCCCTGTGTCTCTCTCTGTGTCTCTCTCTGAGTCTCTCTCTGTGTCTCTCTCTGTGTCTTTCTGTGTCTCTCTCTGAGTCTCTCTCTGTATCTCTCTCTGTCTCTCTCTGTGTCTCTCTCCGTCTCTCTCTGTGTCTCTCTCTGTCTCTCTCTGTGTCTCTCTCTGTGTCTCTCTCTGAGTCTCTTTCTCTCTCTGTCTCTCTCTGTGTCTCTCCCTGTGTCTCTCTCTGTGTCTCTCTCTGTGTCTCTCTCTGTCTCCCTCTGTGTCTTTTTCCGTCTCTCTCTGTGTCTCTCTCTCTCTGTGTCTCTCTGTGTGTCTGTCTGTCTCTCTCCGTGTCTCTCTCTGTGTCTCTCTCTCTCTCCAAACTGGATTAAGCCTAGGTTTTGGAAGTGGATTATAAAAGGCATTACCAGAAACACCTTCCTGCTAGCCTGCACAGGATCATTAGTTAAAGAGAAAAACCAGTGCCGGCTCATTCAGGGTCAACAATCAAACTCTCAGAGGAAGTGGTAACTCCCAAACAATCAAACAATCCAACATGTATTCATTTATAGATACAGTGAAAGAGGTGAAATACCAAAACAAGGATTCAGATTCAGTTTATTTGTCATTGCAGTAAAACCACATTGGAATACATGTGCAAAAGTCCCCAGTGTGCTCCTCTGGTTGTGTGTCTGCGGAGTTTTGTCCCTGTTTCATCAGAGTTTGAGTTTAAAATTCGGTTATATCACATATTTTGTTATTTTTGTGTTTTGATTAAAAAATGGCTGAAAGAAGCTGTTAGCATGTATCCAGATGTCCTGCAGCCATCTTCTGCCAGAGGGAAGAAGCTGGAACGTGGCAATCTGGAAATGCCCTCATCGGGGAATATGTGTTTTTCACTATTTGACTATTTGTAGCATTACATATTTTAAAAAATAATAGAAAAGTGTTGCATTAACAGTTATAGAACAGTAGGAATGAGGAGCACACAGCACAAGATAAATTAACAATAACTCTATACTAAAATAAATGAACATCTTTAACTTTAACATAATAAATAAGCAGGTATAATTCCTTTATATTCTGTTGCCAGTATTTGTTAGTCCTCGTTGTTCGTTGTACAGTCCGACAGCAGAAGAAGGAAGGAAGAAAAAAATGTATATATATAGTCAAACAACAGAATGAGTGTTTTTTCCCGCACGGATCCTGGGATATCTGGGACGAGGCGCTCCGCAATCTGACAGTCGTACAGCGGGAGCGGAGCTGAGC